GTTCACTATAGTAAAGATAATTTTAATATATTTGATTTAAAAATTCGCTATATCAAGGGTTCGCTATATCAAGGTTTAACTGTAATAATAAATAATTATATTATACAGATTATACAGATAATCCTTTAGATTATTTGTATATTATAATCATAAAAAATCTTTATTATTATTTCTACTACCTATAAAATATATGGAAAGTGAATAGTAGAAAAGAAGGAAATCCAAAATTTTTGTTAATTTTTATTATTAAGCTAAATTTATGCATATGATTGAGATCAGCCAAATAGTCTAATAATATAAATTTTAACCAAAATTTGGATTTCTTCCTTTTTTACTTTTTTTACTAACCATCTTTAATATTTCTAATATAATACCAATATTTTATTTGGTTATCAAATATTAGTATAATTAATTACTTTGTTAATTAATGATTTATATAAAAAGTAATAAATTAATAATTATTTTTAAGAAAAAATATATTATAAATGAATGAATTTTACTATTATAAATAATTTCACATATTTTATATTAAAATAATATATTATTATTACAATTTATTTTATATTATATATCTAAAATATCTAAAATCTGTATTTATTAAATAATTCTAAATGTTCATTTATATATTTAGATTTATATAAAATTATAATTATACTAAATAATTATTATATAAAAATTACCTTTAATTACTTAATATATATTTTATAATATAGTTATTATATTATGATTATACTAAAGTTATTGGATAAAATCTAACATTTAACCAAATGTCTAAATGGTAAAAGCAAACTTGATTAAATTATATTGCAGCTATTTCATAATTTCTAAATCATTAATAAAATGAGACTAAATGTGATTAAATGTGATAGAAAATATTTTATAATAAAATTACTATGAAATATTTTAATTGAATATGATTAACTATAATTGAAAATAATTAGTAGTTCAGAAATTATGAAAATAGTTGTAAAAACTTATTAAAAAATCTGTGAAATTAGAAAAAAGGTAAAACTATATTAAAGCTTATAAAAATAATAAAACTGTATCAAAACCTTAATAAAAATTTAGTGAAATTAAAAAGGTTTATACATTAGTCAAATCCAAAATGAATTTAGAAAAACAATTTTATATGTAAGTTTTGAAAAGAAATTGTATTTCTGCTTTAAAATATTTGATTAATTTCTTTATTTTTTTTTTTTTTTGAAATTAATAAAACATTTTGCTTCAAGTTTAAATTTTATTAATTGTAATTTGATATTTTGAAAAATCCTTATTCTATTTTATATGAATTGTTTTAAAATAAGATAGATCTGATAAATATTATTATTTATTTTATTTAAGAATATTATCGTTATATAAGATTTTTTTTTTAGTAACAACTCTTAGACTCTTGGAATCTAATATGATAAGTTAATATTACTTGATATATATTTTAATTTTATTATTTTATAGGATTTTTTCCCTTTTTTATTTAGAATATTGTTATATTATTTTCAAAATATAGATTTTCTTATTTTGGCGCAGTAATCGACAAAATTCCCGTTACACGCAGTGTTGTCATGGGACACTGATGGGACACTGATGGGACATTGATGGGACAGATGGGACATTTGGGACATATATGGGACATAGTTGGGACATATAGTTGGGACATATAGCTGGGACAGCAAATGCTTGGGACATAGGAAATGGACATCACTGGTTACACGTGTTATAAATCTAATATAAAGTTCTTGTAATTTAAATTTATCACTGACGTGTTACAACATATATATAAATACTTTTTTCGTTTTATATTTACGAAAGCATTATGGTAAGAATTTTTTTTGTTTTTTTTTTGTTTAATGATTTATTTATTTTATTTAGGTCAAAATCAGTAATTATCTTAGTTCATATTTATATAGGCAACCGAAGAAGACAAAAAAAGTTAGAATTTTTCCTTTAGTGATAATTTTGTTTTAAAAAAAAATTTTCTGATTTTATTTTATTATAGAATATCATAGAGACTTCAAGCTTTTCGATAAAGAAGGTAATGATACAATTCCTAGTGAAGCATTAGGTGATTTATTACGTGCATTAGGTCAAAATCCAACAAACGCAGAAGTTGAAGAACTTACTAAAGGAGCTGGGTCAAAAAGTGAATAATTTAGTTAATTCGTTTTTGTTTTAAAAGGTTAAATAAAAAAATTTTTTAAAATGTAATCGAAATTTTTTTTATTTTCAGTTAATTTTGAAAATTTCCTTAAAATACTTTTGCGTCCTGACGGATTTGCACCTGCCGGAACTTACGAAGAATTTGTCGAAGGATTTCAAGTTTTTGATAAGGATCGGACTGGATATATATCAGCTGGAGATTTAAAATATGGTTCGTAAAACAAATGTATAAAAAAAAAATATATATAATAATGTATATATTAATCAAATCATTTTATTATGTTATAGTATTAACTAGTTTAGGTGAAAAGCTTTCCGAGGAAGATGTAGATGAATTACTAAAAACTTTTGTTGATAAAGATGGAAAAATTAAATATGATGGTAATTTATAATAAATAAATTATTTTATAAAATACTGTGTTGTTTTACTAATTTAATTAATCTAATTAATTTAATATCTTAGATTTTATAAAAGAAATCTTAGCCTCTTAAATATTTATTTAATCTCTAAGGGAATTAATTTCTAAAATTCAACCATGTATTACATTAAATTAATACACATAATTTGTAACAAATAAATAAATAAAAATTATCCATCACACATTTTAATATATAGATCCATCGAATAACCTATTAACCATATTCTCCAAAGATTGTGGATCATATTTGATATATTTTGTAGGATTTTTGGAAAACTCTGTTTGTTGATATTTATCTAAGAAACGAATATACATTGGCATTAAAACACTCTTGATATCTTTAATAACCTGTGAACGTAATTCAAGATCAGGTATCGCATATCCCTTATGTACTTTGTACATTTCTTCAAAATCTGTGTTGAAATTCTACGAAACAAATTTGTAATTTTTAATATATTTTGCTTATTTTTCTTTAAAAACAAATTTTTTTATTTTTACATTTCGTTACCTTGAATTTTTCTTTAACATTTCCTTTTTCGTTGGATAATGCGGTCTTTAATGTCCCACCTCGAACCACTGAATCCATGAGATTTGCAAAACACGGTTTCCATCTAGTTCATAAATATACAATTGATTTCTAAATTGATTGAATATTTACACGCGAAAAGATTTATATTAAATAAATAACATACGTATCAAGATATCCATCATTATATCTTTTCACCATTTTCTCGTATTTGTATCCAATATCATCTAAAATTGAGAAAAATAGTGTCTTTATGCTTTTCAAAATATAATGATAATTATTTAATAAGAAAATGCATGTCAAAGCTGTCTTTTTATATGATTTTGCTTTGAAATCTAACGTGATAGTCAAGCTTTCCAGAACATCAGCTGTACAGTTTAATATTATATAATAAGTTAAAATCCTAAAAAAAAAAAAAAAAATTTATATAAAAATACAAAATAAATATACCAAAATAATGTTGCAAAATAGCATTTGCAGATACGCCACGTACTGTTCTATCTCGTGAAAAATTCGGTTCTTTCTCTGGAACATTCCAATTACCATCTCCTAAAGTCAACAACATAGTTTCAACTGTTTCCTGATAATCAGTTAATCGCTTTAGGTGTTGTAAAGTCTTTTAAAAGAATAAAATATATATGATGTAAAATTAATTCCAACATGTTTGTACTTTATTATAAATTCTTTGAGTAAAATTGCAACATACTGTTATTGTCAACTCATGAACGGTACCGTCATTTGGAAGATTTGTCGTTTTTGTTCGATGATTCTATAGAAATAATTATTAATCAAATTAAAATTAAATTAATTTTTTTTTAAAAAAAAGTTTAATTTACTTTAATTTCATCTATAAATTCTGGGAATGAACGAAGTGCGACTGCTCTCAATGAATGCAAGAGATCACCATATGATGAATCTTTTTTTCCTGCAAGCTGAATTTAAGGATATCAATTTTATATTAATAAACATTAACAAGCTTAAGAGAAATAGAATAAAATAAAATTGTCTAATATACCCTAAAAAATTCCTCGAAAGAACCAACATTTTTATTCAATGATTCCATCATATCAAAAGCCAAAAAAATGTCCGTTTGCATATTTTTTTTCACGCGATTATTTAATGTCCTACCAGTTTCAACATAATTATCTAAAGGCATTTGTATGGCACCTCTGAATCCAGACATAACACTTCCTGGGGGAAGTATTTTATCGGCTATTTCATATTCTGTCTAATTTATTTAAAATAATTAAACAAAATAGATATAATAAGAGAAAACGTATAACATGCTTTCTTATAATACCTTGAACATTCTTAATATGGCATCAGTATATGAGTTAAACCCACAAGTTCCTTTTTCATATACTAGGGTACTTCTTTTTTCCGCAGTGCTAATAGATCCTTGTGCTAACATATTTAATGATTTCGCAAGATAATTTGATCGTACTTCGATATATGCTTTTACAAAATCACTATTGTAGCCAAGTTCTGGACCGGAAGTTGAAAGGTATGAAGATAATGTCGCAAGGTTTTGCAAAGGACCATTTGGTATTCCAGGAATATCAAGATCTGAAGATATTGAATTGATTATGATTCAGTCGCATGATTTAAATTATAAATTTATAAAATTTTTAAATTTACTTTTTGTTATATAAGAAAGTGGTTCAATTGTGTTGCTTCTGTTTGATAAACATAAGCGAAAATGTTCTTCCAATTGTATCATGCCAGCCTTTAAAATTTGTTTCTATAATCGAAATAATTTCAGCAAATATATAGAATAAACATTAAATATTCTATTTATGAATAAAATAGTTTCATACCAACTGTCCAATAACTTTTTCACTACTCTTTAATCTCATCCCACCCAAAACTTCCATTGCTTTTTTACATTTTCCAATAGAATTTAAATATAGATCCAATTCATCTTCATTTATTCTATTATAATAAAGGTCAGAAGAAAATAAATTCAATAAACAATATTACAAGGATTATATTTAGAACAAACCCTTTTTTTATTGTCATTTCCTCTTTTTCCACCAGATCAAAATATCCAATGATCTCCAAAACTCCATTACGCGTCTTGTCGATATCTAACAAATATTGAAATTAAAAAATCATATTGAATTATTGAATATAACTAAAATAAAATGACCCTTACTATCTTCCAACTTAGTTAATGTTTGTGTCGACTTATGAATTGGCAGGATCGAGGCTTCCAATCTCACTAATCGATCATCAAATACATTAAGCATGCTGGTCTAAAAAAAAACTAATTTAAAGAGTATTATTAAAAATAAACAAAAAAAATTGTTTAAGGACGAACCATCTTTTCTGTCAAAGCTTCGGTCTTTTTCAAATTTTCTTCAAGAAAATCAAGATCCGCACTCTCTTCATCAAGCCTGTCCATGTTGAATTTGATAAATTGTGCAAAAACCATACTAGAGTTAGATTATGCAGACATAGGATGTTAATGATCCGATCCATCCCGATCTCGGATCGATTTTTAGACCGAATTACAAAAAACATGCTACCACATTTCCTAAACGATATGGTTAGAATTAGTTACCAGTTCATTCATTGTATATGATGGTTATTTAAAAAAATAGTCAATTCTAGGAGTCCTATTTTATTACATTCACGAAGTCAACAGATTATAAAATTTTAAAATGTTACATGTGACGCAGAGAACAATAACATGAATACATTTTGTATCTAAATAAAATTCGTATAAATGGAAAATATATGCTTCCAACAATAAGTCTTCGAGCAATGGCTTGCCATACACATCATTTCTTAAATATTCGAGAATATAATTAAACAGTTCCCCATAAGATGTTCCCGTTGTAGTCAAAAATTTCGTTTCCATTAAAATATCCATAAAATAATTCGTGTGCTTGGAAAGAGTTTGCTTTGTGGTGGTATATAGTACTCCTCCATATTAAGAGTAATGAGGACTGTAGAACTTGACGAGATTGATGAAAAATTGTAGTATGACAGGTCATTTACTTTTTTTTAAAATGATCTTGATCATTTTGACTTGAAATTATAATAAAAATGAGGTCATTTGAGGTCATTTCAAGATCATTTAAGGCCATTTGCCAACACTGGTAACACCTTCGAAGGAAGGAAACTGATTGGCGTCTTGTCTGCAAAATTATATTCTTTTCTTGAACTATTTTATAAAAGATCCCTGCTTCCTTCCGTATGATTTATCAGGAGACTTAAGAACATGTTGAAATTCTGTTGTAATAAAGTTCTTAAAAACTTGACTACTTTTCCCGTTAATTATCCTCCTACAAAGACTGAATGGGATAAAGGGTTTCTTTCGTTTTGGTGGATCTAAAATTAAAAAAAAAGTGCGTGAGAAAAGTAATTGTATAATAGGACCCCGAACTATACTAATAGAACTCACAAATGTAGTACGATCACGCAATTAAAATTATATTGTATGGTAAATATTAATGCTAGAAAGATATCATTAGATTCCTCTCGGTTAGACGAATCACTGGTTATTGAGATAATTGGTATGTAGGATAAGTAAATTTGTAAAAATAAGCAACTTTTGGCAAAGTTTACATATAAACTCTACGCAAACTCAAA